AGAAAGAAATTCACAGTCATATAAACATTTCTAAGGGATTTAAAAAAAAAAAGCAAAACTCTAAATCTACCCTTCCAAGAATGTTTTAAGTGATCTTTTTATACCAATTCCCAAATGGTGGAAAACAAGCATGGCAATTGCGATGTCAGCTGTCGGAGTTCCTCAGACCAGAAGGCCCCTTAAAACACTCTAGCATAGATTAGCTAAATACAGTTTCCTTTCCCAGCAATCAGGTACATAATTTCGGAACCATTTACGGGGGGGTTGGGGGAAGAGGGGGGTTGGGGTCACAATTGAGTTCCTGGGAGTATTACTACCCAAATATAAGTAAAATCTGATTTCAGCCGAGGGACCCTTGATGTCTTGAAACAGTTACGTACCTCTCTGTCTCTCTGGGTAACACCCAGTGCTGCGAGGGGAAGACTCAAGATACTTCTTCAGTCGCGGCACTGTTGGGTGATGCCTGCTCCGCCCTGAAGAAGGGGACACATGGGGGGCACAGAGCACCCCCTTGCTTTCGCAGAACTTGGGTTATGGGTGCACTGCTCGAGATCTTTTTCTGGTCCGCAGTGTGAACTGATTACTGACCCATCCATTTCCGAACGTTACTTGGTGTGGTTCTGGATAACAGAAATCACCCAGGGACAGATTTTTAAATGGCTTCATTGCTTCATGGGTCCACGTGGGGCAGGAGTCTAGACTCAGAGATGTTGGAATAAAACCTCAGTGACACATTGTTAGCAAAGTTGGACAACTGTTGGGTTCACACATCAGTGGCTGTGTCCACCATTGCTTTGGTTGTTTTAACAAACCCCAGGAGTTGGGGCGGGGCCTTACTAATAAGAAATCTTCTGAAATCTCTATGATAGGAATGTCTTGCGTGTAGACTATGAGTTCCAGGAAACTCAAAGCAATATTTTTCTATGGCATCTTTCCACAAAGAGTAAGCTTCTACTTCTACCTGCGTTAAGTGCGTAGTTCATTTTCATAGTGACTTGTGGAATATGAGAAAAAATGTACATTGCTTTGTGTCTTACCAAGTGTAATATTTAGAAAATGGACAAGCCAGATGGGCAGTGGTCACATACCAGAAATCTCAGTACTCAGGAGGCTGAGGCAGGAGAGTTGTTGTGTGTGAGCTCAGGGTCAGCCTGGACTACACAGTTTGACCTTACCCCCCTCAGGAAGGAAGGAAGGAAGGAAGGAAGGGGAAGGAAGGAAGGGAGGAAGGGGAGGGAGGGAAGGAAGGAAGGAGGAGGAAGGAAGAGGAAGGAAGAAAGGAAGAAAGGAGAAGGGGAAAGAAAATAGAGGTGGTTTCTCGTCTCAAGGGTCAGAGGACCCCATCCTTCTCCTTGTCTCAGTGTATGAATCGGGGTACATCTCCCAAGTGGGACCACTCAGGGGCTCCGTGAAGCTGTGCAGGGTCCCTGCGGACGCTCCTGGCTCTGCTCTGAGTCTCTTTACCAAACCGCAGCAGGAATGTCTGGACACGGATAACCTCGGTGCAGGGAGGCACTACGGAACTGCTGAGACCAGCTGTCGCCTGTCCTCATGCAGGAGCAGGGAGGTGGGACACAGGTGTAGCAGACCAGATTGACTAGCAGTTTCTTGTGCCACCAGGATCATGGACCCTTGCGGTGCAGTCTGGCACACACACAAAAGGTTAGAGCAGTAGCCCTGGGCTTCACGAAGAGTGAGTACGAAGTGAGCAGAGAACAGAAACTCTAGACACTAATCCGAGTTGTCATCCATTTAGTTGTTCCCTGGAAGGAGGACCTCTTGAGAGTAAACTTGTATGTCCTAGTTGTTAGTATTCATGCATCTGTACTGGCCTGCCCAGGGGATCCTGACAGGACACGCCCTCAGCTGTAGCCACTAAGAGCACCGCCTGTGCACATTCACTACGTTCCCTTTTGAAAGGGCCCTGCCCACCTCCCATCTTTCTCTCTCTCTCCCTCTATGTCTCTCTCTCTCCCCCTTTCCTCTCTCCTGCTCCTGTCCCTGGAATCTGGTTTCCCCTTCCCCTTTTAGGATCCCTTTCCCCAAAACAAAACAACAAAAAAGGCTCTGCTTGAGCCCTGTCACATGCTGTCTTTCCCTGGAGCTGCTTTTCCTAAATTACAATGGTAGTTCAGTGAGTTTGTCTCCCTTTCTGCCCTTAGAATATTCCCAGCTCTTGTGCAGTGGTTTCTTTCACCTGGATTCTAGGTGCATTTCTCTCGAACTGGTGCAAAGTTTTACGTGCGTGGCTATTTTGTGTGCATTTGAAGAAGGGGGTTTCTCAAAGCCATGTAACTCCCAAAATTATCAAACCCCAGTTACAGAACATCTTCGTTAGGAGGCTTCCTAGAGATTGTAGCATGCAGCCTGTCGCATTTCCCAGAGGGATATTTCTTTGTTGCAGTCTGCCTGGGCTCTGCTCTCTAGACTACCAAGGACAATCTAACTATGAAAACTTCTGCAGGATTATTTTTTATGTGTGTGTGGGGGTAGCTTAAACCTTTGCTCTCCCTACCTCTGCCTCCTGAGTGCTGGATTACAGGTGTGCATCACCACATCTGGATTGTGATTATTGTCGCCTCTAAGCTACATCCGATCCTCAAGGTTTTCATTTTTCCTCCTCCCTTTTGTTTCTTTTTCTGTTTTTCGTCCTGGAAGAAGTGAGGCGATTTAGCCAGGGTTCTTAAGGATGTTAGGGCTGTGTTCTCCTCACATCCCGATGGGGTTCTTACGCCTTCCTGCTTGTACTGGGTTCTGGTTTTCTGCATTCTCCCTTCTCTGAGGTTTACTCAGGTGGAGAAAGAACGGGAGGGAAGGCTTCTGAGGGATTAGGCTAGCCTGAGCTCATGGGACTATTTGTGCCCACCAAATGGCAAAAACAAAACAAAACCAAGAAACAAAAGGCAAGAAAGAAAAAGGCAGTATTGAGTGTTTTTCTTTTAATTTCCCAACCATAGTATGAATTCTTTTTTGCCAAACGGCTTTGGGGCTTTGCCTGGAACATCTGTGCCAGAGTGAGAAGCTCATCTTGGCCAGACACGGCCACATATTGAAGAAGGAGCCGTTTCCAGGAAAAACTCGGAGCTAAGCTTCTTAGAAATCTTCCCTTAACTGTCGGAGCCAGGCCTCGACACTTAGACCATCTGGGAAACTTTGGACCCGAGCTCCAGGATCTGTTTCATACATCTTCTCATTTCATAAGCTTAAAAATATGCTCGTTTCTTTGAGATATGTGTTTGTGGATTTTTGTACATTCTGAGCAAAGCTTTCGCATATTAGGAGCCTTCAGAGAAAGTGGGCACCTCAGGACCGACTGCAAAGCAGGAAAAGGGTCGACGTCCCTGGAGCTGACACTTGCTCCTCTTTTCGGGCCTTGGTGGCTCTCGGTGAGCCAACGGGGACGCCCTACTCGACCACTTGCTGTTAGCGAGAGCCCATGACGCTGTGTAGTTTGCAGGTGTGGAAGCTGCCCCCCCCCAGTAGCATGCTTTCCCTGCCCCATGCGTCTCTGTATCCGGGGAGGGCTGCAGTCTGGATGTCTGCCTCTGCTCTGCTTCGACCTCGTCTCTTGTCCTAGTGGTTATCAATCTGTTTATTTCTAGATGAAGACGGTGACTCCAGAGTGTTCTGTGTATCTGGACAACCAAGGGACACATTATTTTGCTGCAGCTGCGGTTGACATCACAGTTCATTTGGTGCTTTGATTTGGTGCCTTGCTTACATCCAAGTCTAAAAATGGTCCTGTGTGCAGAAATAGCTCTTGACAGTTTGAGAATTGCTTGTTCTTTTTTAATTTTTGCTGCAAATTAACTAGCTAAACCTCTTTGAACTTAGCAATTTCTTCAGCCTCTTATTTTTAATCTTTTGGGTTACATATACGTTTGCATATTGGCTACAGTGAGTCGGTATGCTGCTGCCTGAAAGATATTTGACAACAATACTCAATTCAAGATGCATCTTTCTGTGGAAATTAACATAGGCACACTCAGTAGTTAACAAGCGATACGATTGCATGTGTATGTGCAAACTATTAGTACACTGGTCTGCGTCAAGAAATGGGGAATTAAAATATTGTGCCGGCATTTAGCAGGTGCTTGCCATCAGCTGAAGCTTAGGTTTTGAAAATCAGAAGAAAAGCTTGGTGCATTATTTACCCATAACTTGGACACTGTAATGAATGAAACTTGTTCTTGATTGTCCCTTGAAAAGAGGCAGGGAAAAGAAAGAAAAGAAAAGAAGGCAGAGAGATCAATGCGGGCCAGCAGCCATGGGGAAGATTGAACAAATTCAGACGGGCAGTATGTGTGCAGGAGCCATCTGAGGCCAGAAGAGGGCGCTGGGCCCTCTGGAGCTGCCGCTGCAGGTGGTTGAGAGCCGCTGGGAACCAAACGGGTTCTCTGCAGGAGCAAGTGCTCCCATCTGTCTGGCACCTCCGTTTTCTTTTCCGTTTTCTCTGGGCTTCGTGTGTTTGGAAATGCCCCTTGTGCTACCAGGAGGGAGGCAGTTCCCCTTGGCAACCCTCCCCCGCTTCGATTTCAGCGGTTTTTCTTTGGCAGCAGTCACCTAACTTGGTAGAGATTGGAAGTCACCTGGGAGAATCCTTTCTGTGCCCCACCCCCCGGGGAAATACTCACCCCTAGAAGATTCCGTTCTGCTGTTTCAGCTTGGTTTTCTGAGTCGAAGGATGAGGAATCCCTGAGTTACGCTACCAGTTTGGGGTTAAAAGAAAGTGTTCTGTTTACTCGTCTTCCATTCTTAGTGGGCGAGCCATGTTTTAGTGTAGGTTAGTGTGATTGGCCGACTATAGGACACAACTACCAGGTTAGTCAAACAGTTAAATCGGCAGCATTTAACTCAACCTTGTGCGGACGCATCGATCTTTAACTCAACCTTGTGCGGACAGCATCGATCTTACGGCACTTTTGGCAGTGAGTTGTGTAGTGTCTGGGTGCTGGGAGATCGGCCCTAAGCTCTCTCCTTTCTCTCTTGTTGTCTCCTAGGTTACGCTGCATCTGAACCCCATCTCCTCAGTGCACATTCACCACAAACCTGTAGTTTTCCTGCTCAACTCCCCGCAGCCCCTGGTCTGGCATCTGAAGACAGAGAGACTGGCCGACGGTGTCCCCAGACTTTTCTTGGTAAGTGTCCAACACCCTCCCCCCCAATATGCTCCCAGTGAAAGGTTATAATGGCTCGGTTTTTGCAAGGCGTTTTATTTCTTGAGGCATTATTTTACTCTGAAGCCGGGACTGGCTTCAGACAGTCCTTCTGCCTCGGCGTCCTGAATAGCTGGGATCATAGTTGTGTATAGCATGCCCAGTTTGCAAAAAAAAAAAAAATGCTTTGAAAGAAATACTTTTCATTAAAATGATACCAAAGGGTGTGGCTCTTCTCTTTGTGCATGGGGGATGTTTTGGATGGCGTAGGAAAGACTTCCCAGGACGCAGATGCCATGTGTGCTCTGTGCAGACAGAGCTGGTCTCGTTTGTACAGTGGTGCAGGGTCTGCTGTCACGATCTGTGTGGCCTGAGGCCTGGTGTCCCCTTCCGCCTTGTGGCATTAAGAGTACTGTCAGAGTTGTAAGTAGCCTCTGGTGTGTGGTCTCTGACCACGAAAATAAATACGCACAAACCCATTTCTGTTTGTATATAACTCAGGCCTAATTTCTGATACGAGGAACTGTTTGTTGACAAAGTGGCACAGTGAGCTCCAAAGCATGAAATCAGTTGTGTTTTATTTAAACAAAAACAAAAAACCCGGAGGCCGGCTCTTGCAGTCCGGTCCAAATATTACCTACTATTTGTAAATCATGTCCTTTGGAGTTCGCCAGAATGTTCGGCTCTGAGAGTTGCGGAGACATAGATGGGTCGTTGGGATGAAATGCTTGGGGCGTGATATCATGTCTGATGAGCAGCAGGGCTGCAGCTCCGTGTGTGATCTCTCACGGTCGTTGTGAGGGCTGTGTGCTGTCCTCACTGCAGAGCCCCGAGACCTCACCGGTAAGCAGCCACCCCTGTCAGCAGATTTACTTTTGCCCCATGAATCGATTTTTGCCACTCCAGTGACTTTAGTACAAAGCTGTCATTTCTTGCCACTTGCATCTGAAGGGCATTTTTAACCACTTGAAGGTATCTACCCAATAGATCGAGGATCCATGTAGCTAGAGGTTGGGTAAGTGTGTAATACAGGAGAGATGGGGTGGCTCTTACTACTTGTAGCACCAACTGTTAAATACCTATAGAAGAAATGACAGAGCCAGAATATCGTTTGGTAGCCATCCCAGTGAAGGTTGATCAGAGAAGAATCTTCAACAGATGTCAGGTCCAGTTACTGAGAGATTTTTTGAGGACAGGTATATTCAGATACTCTCTAAGTACTTTCCCCATGAATTATTTATTAATTAGAAAAGAAGAATTGCAGCTATGGAGAGGGGGAGGAATCCTTGGGAGTGCTTTTAAGCAAGTGATCAGAATTAATGACACCAGCATGGGGCAGATAGACATTGTATGTCTGTAAATGAGAAAGAACATGGCATCCCTTGTGTCTTAGTCAGGGTTTCCGCTGCTGTGATGAAACACCATGGCCAAAGCAGCGTGGGGAGGAAAGGGTTAATTTCGCTCACACAGTTCCACATAACAGTTCATGGTCAAAAGCAGTGAGGGGAGGAACTCACCATGTGGGACAGGGACCAGGAGGCAGCTGAAGCAGAGGCCACGGAGGTCGCTGCTCACTGGCTGGCTCCCCATGGCTTGCTCAGCCTGCTTTCTTATAGAACCCTGGGCTGGTGGCATCACCTGTAATGGGCTAGGCCCTTCCCGAATCAACCACTAATTAGGAAAATGCCCTGCAGCTGGATCTGATGGAACATTTTTTTTCTCAATTGTGGTCCACTCCTTTCAATTTCCCCCCCCCCTCACAATAGCCCCCGGGGTAACTCCTTTTTTTTATAGATGATCTAGAGGCTTAACGGTGGCCCAGATCACTAGGCTAATTTCCGGCAGGGTTTGGATTTAAAGCTGAATTGGGAACCCACTCTATAGCACGTGCGCTGAATAGCAACCTCCATGCTTAGTCACGTCAGCGTTCTGCAATTAAACTTATTTGCGACAGTAAGACGGCTCTTGTAAAAATCATATACTCGTTTGCTCAATGTACTGCAGTTCAATGCTGCGGAAGCTACCTGTGCACGGCTGTCTAACTGGAGGCTGAGGCAGGAGAATTGCAAATGCTCAGCTGTTTAGTAAAAGTCAAAGCTGGTTTTGGCCCTTTCTCGAAAAAGTGGAGAGACATTGGTTTAGGTAGAGCATTTTTACACAGCGTGCACAAGGGCCCCGTGTTCGATTCCCAGAACCAAAAAGAAAACACTTTAAATCCAGTTCTTGTGCCTTGTACCTGTCAGGTCCTTGGGAATTTCTGGAAAGTGGTTACCACCGACACGGTAGCCAGGAGAACAGGTGATGTGGCGAGCAGAGGCTCTGCCTGGACAGCTGTGCGGCCCAGGAGGTAATTGGGAAGATTCGTCTCTGCAAACCTGACTTTTCCCAGCTGTGATGTAGGATCGATGGCAGTCCTACCTTGTCAGAAACAAACACACGAGGAAATTGCATATAAAACGTTGAGTGCCGTGGCCGCCCTGCTGAGTTCACTAACGCTTGATGTCTCTGCTGTAATTAGCAGATCAGCGAGTTGTTGGGAAGGGTTAGATTGGCGTCGGTATGCCAGGTAACTGTCGGATGGCTCCAGATCTGAAGTTCCCATTTCCCTAGGCTGTGGGTTCCATGCATAGCGTGGGCCACACACACAGTAGTTTTGCTTACTGTGTGTTGGGTTCTTCAGTCTGCCATGCCGTGGGATCCGGAGGAAATCGTCTTTGTTATTATTTGTTTACTTTGTGAGCTGTAAGAGCTCCATCTTGACAATTAGTTGGAAATACACTAATGAAGAAGTTAATCTTTTAGTACACGGCTTCACGTCAGCCTTATTTGGAGTTAATTCCATGTAAGGACATCGCAGAGGGACACTGGTGGGGAGAAGTTACTGACTGAAGTCCTTGGAGACACCCATGCTCTGCTTCCTTTGGCCTTCCTGTGACAGCTCGTTCTCCATGGCCTTGGGTGGCCAGCAGGACATCTGTTGCTTAAGCCAGATCGGGGCTCTGCAGGTGGTTAGAGACAGCTCACAGGCTGGGAAACTCCTCCCCCTCCTCCCCAAGGCCCTGTAGGGAGTCGGTGTCCCTCATCCATGTCACAGTCTTGGTGCTGGTAGAAAACCAAACGTGTTCGGTTTGTCCATCCATGAAGTGTCTCTCCGAGCATTTCGGCAGCACAGGCTCCACAGAAGTTGAGCCCTAAGATTACTCGGTGTGCCAAGAACACCTTGGAGAGAGGATGGGTCCCTTGACCTCAGGCCAAGGTACATTGTTCTCATGCCCTTGTGACACGTGAAGAGGTCACATGACTGGCTCCAAGCTGTCTTTTTCTGGTAGAGTTATAATTCTTTAATGGTTACCAGTTGTTTTGTTTGTTTGTTTGTTTGTTGGTTTTTCGAGACAGGGTTTCTCTGTATTGTTTTGGAGGCTGTCCTGGCTCTGTAGACCTGGCTGGCCTCAAACTCACAGAGATCCTCCTGCCTCTGCCTCCCGAGTGCTGGGATTAAAGGCGTGCGCCAAGTGTGTGTGGGGGCGGGGGCGGGGGCGTGGAGCGGAGGGTGTGGACAGTGGTGTGAAATCCCTTAGAAGAAAGTGTAGAGGAATTGTGTAGTGGTAAGTGCACCGCACCTTTTGAGAATATGTTAAAAGCACTGGATTGGCTGGACAGTTGTGGCTTTAATCCCAGCACTGGGTAGGTGGGTCTCTGCGTTTGAGGGCAGCCTGGTCTGCAGAGCAAGTTCCAGGATGGCCGAGGCTACACAAGAGAAACTCTGTCTTGAAACAACACTACCTCCCCAGGGCCCCCAAAGATTCTGGGATATCATTTAAAGTTATTAGGAAAAAACAAAAAGACAACAAAGAAACCTGCCGTAGTATCCTTTGAAAGGATCAGTCCGAGAGCTGGGCGTGCGTATGGCTGTGTGGTAGACTGGCGTGTGCAAGGCCCTGGGTTCCATTCCCAGCCCAGCTAAACTGACAAACAAGCTAACTCCACGGGAATCAACGGCCAAGATTCAGCCAGTGCTGGGAGCTGACTGGGCCCTGTGAACGCCAGATGTGTGATATGATTGTTAAACCATACCTGCAGCTCCAAACTAGGTTTCTTAAAGATGGAGTATCTCTCTACTTTATTCCTTGCATCTGTCTGAGGTGAGGTTTTTTTGTTTGTTTGTTTGCTTGCTTGTTTTAATATTGTGGACCAACAAGATGGCTCAGTAGGTTAAAGGCACTTGCTGCGAAAGGCTCCTCACTGAATTTGGACACCCCCCCCCCAGAACCCAACAAAAGGGCGGATGGCAAGGGTTGCCCTCTGACCTCCATACATGTGCCCTGCCCCGCTGAGAATTATTTGTTATTATATATAATTATTGTGCTATTACATTAACTATATAATATATATATTATATGCATCGTGATAATTACTCTTGTCGCGGTCATTTTGACCCTACTTTGTACTTAAGAGTCTGACGTAAGCAGAAACTTTCAAGATGAGAGCCTGGTGACCTGGTGTGGTGATGCACACCTTCAGTCTCAGCGCTTTGGAGGCAGACGCAAGGAGACCCAGAGTTCAAGGGCAGCTTGCCACATAGTGGGGTCCAGTCTTTAAAAGTACATAAACTCTGTGTGTGTGTGTGTGTGTGCATGTGTGTGTACATGAGAGAGAGAGTATGTGTGTGTGTGTGTGTGTGTGTGAGACAGAGGGAGGGAGGGAGGGGGAGAGGGAGAGGGGGAAGGGGAGAAGGAGGGAGGGAGGGGGCCCTAGTGATCAACCCTTAACATTAAATGCCTGGTCTAGAGGCCACATCTAGACAATGCTAGAGTTAGCTGTTTTGCATGCTAACTTTACAGGGGGAGATGGGGCATCAAGATTAGGAAAGTCTCAACGAGGAAGCAGCGTCTTCCAGTGTTATACTCTCTTGGGATTGCTGTCCCGTGATTTCTTTTTTTCCCAGCCATTTATCACTAAAATCAGGAAAGAAAAAAATGTGG